TGTGGGCAATGTACCAAGAATGAGTGGAATTAAAAAAGACGTGTTTTTTTAAACTGTCAATCAGTCCAACAATGGTATAGAAGTGAACTTTACTTAAAAAGTCACGTTTAAGTATTTTCTACTTGTGTTTTAAAGTTTGTTTCCTTTCCTTTCTTTTCCTTGTCATAGGCTTTGTTTGCTAAATAAATAAAATTATAATCATCAATATTATTTGTGGATAAAGTAACACATACTGTGATCTATAAAATTGTGGGTTCAGAGCTAGTGTGCAAAACTTAAAACTTACATGTGAATCAGTTAGTGGAAATACAGACAATGACTTACTACAGTTTGAGAAAATGATTCACTTTCTCCACTCATACCTCCTTACCCAAATGATCACATGACATTTTAAATCTTCTGACTGTTAATACATCGAATAAACTCCGCAAATTGCCCTGAATATTAGCAATAGGCAAGGCCACCTGTAAAGATAAGGAGATGATTTCAAAGAAAAAGTAATTTTTTGATTTTTGAAATTTTTATTCTGATTATTATGTTGTAAGAAAGTCTTTTTTACCAAATAATATCTCACAAAAAATCCTACAGATGTGGATTTTGGGAGGAAAATTCAGTCAAACAGCCTTGTCTGGCCAAAGCCATATGAATTTGGGGACAAATACATTTTGGAGCCACAGGTTTGATATACAAAATTGGCTTAAAATAGCCTGAAACGTGATGAGGGACGTCGGCAGCACTAACGCAGCATGAAGACTTTTCGCAGACAAACACGCTCCATCTGCTGTACTTCAAATAAACACAAATCCATATCTGCTGCATCAGCTTAAAAGAACTGTGCCTAAACTAGCACACACACACACACACACACACACACCGCGAGCAGTCCAGTTCTGTGCCGAGCTGTGTTGTGTTTGGCTACAGTGGGTACCGTATTTAATACAAATAACAGGAGGAGACCTGCAAACACACAGTGAGAGAGGCACTTTTCCTCTCCTGGTGGAGGTCATTATAAGTTCCTCTTTTGTTGGCAGGAAGTGTGTGTGTGAAACAGAGGGAGCACTGCTGGTCACCACATGCTATCACCACGGGAATGGGACAAACATGGACCTCAGATGGACACACACACACACACATACACACACACACGCACGCATAGTTCTGACCAAAGCCCAGCGTGGACAGAAGGTTTGATATAGAGTTCATTCAACAGTCACTAATGAGAGTCACGACACAGACACACACACACATACATACACGCACAAAGATCTTAGACTAGCCGGTCCTTTGTGAGGGCCAGCATGTGAGCAAAACCCCTAAATGCTAAAGTACACCTAGTTTCTCAAATGTTGAGCAGGAAAACCTTGAACGTTAAAACCGGGCTACAGCGCAGTCGGCTTTTACTGAGGCCAGCTGGTCTACCTCTGATACCTACTGTGTGTTCTCCCTGTTTGATCCCCAATATAACACCACACAATGCCAAAAACAGGACTGGACCAAGCCAAACCAACAGACCATCAAACCATTTGACACTTAAGACAGTTTTCTTTTACTTTTTAAATAAACAATCACCAAAAATATGTAAAAAGTAAGTAAAAAGTAGGCTTAAAAGGTGGCTTTGAAAAGTTTGCTCCTTTGAAGAGGAGGGCAGCTTCCAGTGGGGATCTAGAGTCGTGGCAAGAAAAGTGTCCATAGAAACATTTATTTTCAATTCATTTCAGTAGCTTAGTCTACTTCTCCACTCTGTTCAGTATGTTTTTCACCAATACAGGTCAATAGCAGGGACATTGGTTACACTACAAGAGTGGATGGAGAGGTTTACATGCACATTTTGATCACCTTTCGTTTAACACTTTTTTAGCTGTGTCTTTCCTTCTTATTCAGTTGTAACTGCTGTCAATCCAAGTTAACTACGGTGGGCAACCTCTGAGATGGAGCAAACAAATCTTTTTAAATCAAATTATAATCAAAAAAACATTTCATCTGCTACAACATACATATCTGCTCTGAAATTAACATGTCCTGTGAGAAAGAAATCAGAACTATAGAACAGAGAACTATATTTTATATTTTTTGGTTTCATGGTGGCGCCCCCTATTTTTGCATTCATTTGTCAGAATACTGTTAGTTGTCCATTTATGTAAATGAAGAACTTGTTGTTTGCATAAAGTAATGTTGGTGTTCCATCATAAGCAGACTGACTAACAGACACACCGCAGTCTGCAGAGCCACAGACTTCATAATTCCTATATCATGGTTTGCAGCATGATGTATAGGGTATATCCCTACACTGCCATCATAAGCTTCCAATACATTTGCATACTGTAGCTGCTGGAGGACTTCATTATGTTCTGTCAGTGTCTTCCATATCTTAATGCATTTTGCCCTTCAATTTCTCCTCCGACTTTTTAAAGGCCTGTGTATCACACTCTGGTCTTACCTTCCTGGACCACCTCTCTGACTGAATAATACATGGCTGACACACACACACACACACACACACACACACACACACACACTCGGCAGTACTGGAAAAAATTAAACCAATTGATGCATATTAGTATGTTTGTACTGTGTGCTGGCTGAGCTATTCACACAAACTCTTAGCTATCTCAACCTCAATAACATCTCGGCCTGGGGGCCTCAAGGGTAATAAAATATTTCGGTGTCAAAATGCTGTCTTGTGCACAAGCCAGTGTAAGTATTCAATAGCACAATGGAAATTCAGAGTTATACTCACCTTTTGCAAATGACGGGTATGTGGCAGTCTTTGGCCCACCAACACCCACACCCTTTCTCTAGAGTTAATAGTAGCTTAAACTAATTAAACACAAATACCACAAATAAAACATTCGGTACACCCCAACACACACACTCGGCGGCTCACATTTAATGTAGTATGTGGCCTTAGCATGATCCAATAACATGAAATTCCATGG